TAACCCCAAGATTAGCTAACCACCAGAGTAGCTATCCACCTGAGTAGCTAACCCCAAGATTAGCTAACCACCAGAGTAGCTAACCACCAGAGTAGCTAACCCCAAGATTAGCTAACCACCAGAGTAGCTAACCCCGAGATTAGCTAACCACCAGAGTAGCTAACCCCAAGATTAGCTAACCCCGAGATTAGCTAACCACCAGAGTAGCTAACCCCAAGATAAGCTAACCACCAGAGTAGCTAACCACCAGAGCAGATAACCACGAGAGTAGTTAACCACAAGAGTAGGTAACCGCCAGAGTAGCGAACCACCAGAGTAGCTAACCACCAGAGCAGCTAAAACCACAAGAGCAGCTAACCACCGGAGTAGCTGACCACTAGAGCAGATAGCATCACATCTGGTTTCCACCAGTGCCCTCTAGGCACCAGCCATAGAACGTTGGATCAGAAAATTTTGCCAACAGAGCATCTTGCCACCAGAGCATCTTGCCAACGGAACATCTTGCCAAAGGAACATCTTTTCAACAGAGCATCTTGCCAACGGAGCATCTCTCCACCACAGCATCTTGCGAACGTAGCATCTTGCCAACAGGGCATCTTGCCACCAGAGCATCTTGCGAACGTAGCATCTTGCCACCAGAGCATCCTGCCACCAGAGCATCTTGCCAACAGAGCATCTTGCCACCAGAGCATCTTGCCATCAGAGCATCCTGCCACCAGAGCATCTTGCCAACAGAGCAACTTGCCACCAGAGCAGTGTCCACTCTGAGCATGGCGTAATGCAGAGCTGGATTTTTGCCATGCAAACTCGGGGGTGAGTAATGTGGGGTTATTGAGACATCATAAGCATACCACACTGGATGACACCAACCTGTGTGCCTATTTTGGGCAGGGGTGAAAAATTGTCTAGCTATCCCAATGAAAATGGCGTATACCATTTACTGATGAAGCTTTCGCCACAGCTTTTCATTCACATGGTTCCCGGTTTCACCTATATAAATCCCGGTTTCAACTATCTATATTCTGGTTTCAACTATTTATATCCCAGTTTTAACTATACATATCCCAGAGTAGCTAACCAATATATATATATATATATCCCGGTTTCAACCCTTAAAGCTATGTTAAGCCTACGAACATAACTATCTCATCAAATTTGAACTTGGAATCCGAATCTTCCAGCACTGATGTCACAGGTGCACGAGTGAAAGACCTATTCGAAAACATAAGTGCAGCGGCGTAGTTAGAGCTTGTGGCGATCAGTGAATAATCGCACCCCATCACATATTATTATTTTTTTTGGACAACACTAGTGCATGTGCTTAGCTAGGTAGAGGCCATAAACTGACAAAATTTATTTCCCGGTATGAATTTTTCTGTAAACGTGTAGCCATTAAAGTTTTTTTTTTTTTTTTTTTTTTTTTTGTTTGAAAAATTTCAAAAATCCAGTAGCCATTAAAGTTTTTTTTTTTTTTTTTGTTTTTTTTGTGTGAAAAATTTCAAAAATCCGTAGTCAGCAACATCCGATCTAGTTTTCCCACATTCCCCTCTGAACAATCCACAAATTGTGGCACCCTATTATCACCCTCTTGCCCCCCCCCCCACACACACACACTCATATACGTTTTAACGCAAGCGCTACCGATGTTATCGCATGTTAACCCCAGCAGATACATTCACATTTCTATACTTGGATTATAACATTGTACAAGTCTCACAGAGAGGACATTTCATCAAGCTAAGTCCTACCCTTTTTTTTGGGGGGGGGGGGCCTTTATCTTCTCATTCATCGACTATTTCTCTTAACGCTTGATTTTCGTAATCTAACCATTACAATCTTTTTAAATTATTTGTAACTTTACAATCTTTTTTAAATCTTTTTATTTACTTGTTTTTGTTTTGTTTTTTTTGTTTTTTTTAATTTTTTTATGGTGAAGAGTATATCCACTGGAGTAGCAGAAGTTTATGACCCCACGGGCCGTTCTCGACTTTGCCGCCTCGAATTAACGAAACTACATTTGCTTACAGAATACACTCTTCAAAAGACAGCTACAGTTAAAGTGAATGAAATTAAACGAAGATACCGCCCCAAAATTAAATGCAATTAAATCTCCTGCTGTTTCTAACACCAATGGGGTATACCTAACAGAAAATAATTGAATATTG